AGAGCAGAGGAGGGAAACACAGGACCACTGAGCCTGACAGAGGAAGAGGGCTGGGCACCAGCCATCCCAGCACCTAAACACAATGCCGGGCACACATCAGTGCCCAGTAAAGGTCTGTTAAAGCAAACTGACCTTATGCCTATGAGATGCAATATTTTTACCCTGGACAGGTGAAACTCTGTGAATGAGAGGAATTTGGATTAAACCTAAAAAAATCATCCCGCCTGGAGGATGGGGGTGGGCCTGAACCAGAGGGGTGCTTTATCTCTCCTGGGAGGCGTTTAGATTCCATCTCAGGGTCATCAGTCTGAGAGGGCAGAGGGGTAGAGCGGGCAGGGTGGGCTCAACCTGTCTTACCGGCCCCTCCTTCTGCTAGGGAACTCCGGAGCTTCCCTGCCCACAGGGCAGGTCTCAGCATGAACACCTTCCTGTGAGGGCTCCTCTCCAGCACAAACTTGTCTCTGAGCAAAATGGAAACACTCTGAAGAAGGTGGCTTTTAGCAAAGCCTTCTTAGCATCTGGGATTTCCCTGTCACTCTCCTTCCCATGCAAGTGAGTAGGTGTGTACACACACACACACACACACAGCCACAGGGAGCCCAAGGTTCCCAGACCCGGCTTAGCCCGCTCCCTCCACCTCCTCTCTTCTCTTCCCTCCCAGCAGTCTCCCTCCTCCCCACTGCACAGACAGCTTGGCGATGAGCCAGCAACCACACTACAGCAGCACAGTGAGGTGCTGTGGCTGGGCCCGGCCAGCAGATCTCAGGATTACATTACAGGCCGACTGACAGCAGTAAGAAGAAACTGTGGGAGCAGCAACACCTTCAGCCTGGGGTTGGCAGGGTGACTCCTCAGCCTCTCCCCACCTGCCACCCCCTAAAAATGACTGAGGCTTGTGTTATGCACGATCTGGTGAAATAATGCCTCAGAACTATAAACTGCTGATGGTGTCAGCTCATCCCAGAACAGGGGTTATGCCTGACTGATCCCAATTACCCACCACCCTGCCCTGCTGGTCAGGGTTGAAGGAAGCTGAGCCCACACTGGGACAGCCCCAGAATGGCTGATGGGGTAATGAGCACCTGCTGGAGCGGGAATGGGGTGGGGTGCTGGGCTGGAACAGGATGACAGCTTCAAAGGGAAGGGAGGATTGTGCAAGAGAGAGGAGAATGGGCAGAAGAAAAAGAGGGAAGGAGGAAGGAAAGACAGCAGGGGGTGAATGGATGACAAGAACCACACAGTGTACACTCAAAGGCTTTCAGATTTAATCCTCAAGATCTTGGGAAGTAGGGATCATTCCATTTTACAGACAAGAAAACTGGGGCTTAGAGAAGTAAAATAATTCCCCCCAAGTAACTAGTATACCATAGAGGGAGAGTGTTTGCTGACTAGCAGTGCACAGTGACAATAAAAAGTGGATCAACTTTTAGTTGGTTATATTATTGATTTTTTAAGTTCTCTACAGTCAGGTACTCCTTATTGCCTACTCCCCAGAGCAGAACCCTGCCACCACCCTGCCCTCGGTGACCCTGTCCAAGGTCATACTGCTGGTAGGTGGCCACACTGGGACTGTGTCTCGGCCCATCTAACTCCAAGGGCTGAGTCAAGTCTTCTGTCCTGGGCCTGGCACACTAGCTGGTGTTCTCTATGCCATTCCTCCAGCTCCCCTCTCCCTTTCACCTCCACAGGGGTCCCCTCCCCAGTCTCCTGGATCCCCAGAGGAGTGGGGTGCCCTTTCCTCCAAGCGCCAGATTTAAGCCCCAAGAGGCAGGACCTGGAGGGCAAACTGGGTTGGTTCCCTTGTGAACACTTGAGTTTCTGCACCACCAAATGCCTAAATCCCTCTTCCTTTTACACCCGCTCCTGTCTCCCCCTTTCCTCTGCTTTTAATCTTTGGGTAATCCATTCATTCAATCATGTGCCCCACGCTACTAAGCACTGGAAACACGGTGCCTGCCTCCTGGAGCTTTAGTCCAGCAAGGGTGATAGACTCTGAGCCAGCAAATCCAACCAGGAGAGGACCTCAGAGGTGAGGGCTGCTGAGGAGAGAAGGGGGTGGGGAGGGGAGACAGGCAGTACATGGGGGATTTAGGGGCTTAAATAGGGGGTGACCTATGATCCTAAGCCTGGAGGAATTAAGGGACCTGGCCATGTAGCCATTTGAGGAAAAAGAGTTCCCAGCAGAGAAAAGAGAAAAGAGCAAGTGGGGCAGCGTTGGGGAGGGGCAGGGGAGGTCGTGTATGAGGCAGGAGTTTTCCTGCCTGTTTGGACAACCAGGAGGCCAGAGTGGCTGCGGACAGCTAGGTCAATGAAAGGGGAGGGCAGATTTTATATCACATTTACTCTGAGTCGGATGGGAAACCCTTAGAAGGGTTTGAGCATAGAAATGACATGATCTAACATGTTTTAATGGATGATTGGCTGTGATGTTAAGAAAAGACTGGATGGGGCAAAGGAGGACACAGGGAGGCAGACTGGCGATTATGTCAATCACCCCGTGAGAAGCAATAAGCCTGGCACACATGGCGGCAGTGGGGAGAGTGAGAGGTGGTAGGAGTCCAGATACGTTATGAAGGTGGGATTTGCCACTGGATTGAATGTGGAATATGGAGAAAACAGAGGAATAAAGGATGGCTCTTGAATTTTGTGGCCTGAGCTACCACGGGGGGGAGGAGGGGGTGAGCCTAGAAAGTTGGAACATATTAGCATGAACATTTGGCAGAACAGTTTTGGAGATACTAAGGTTGAGATTCGATATCCAAAAAGAGACATTGATCAAAGTATACAAGCAGAGTGCAGAGAGGAAGTCCAGGATAAAGATATGCCCTTGGCACTCATCAGTGGATAGGTAGTGTTTAAAGTCATGAAGCTGTATGATCTCACCAATGGAATGAGTAAGGATAAAGATGAGAAAAAGTACAAGGGCTGAGTCCAAGAGTGCTGTGTGTCTACAGGTTGAAGACATGAAAAGGAACTGGCTAAAAAGACCAAAAAGAAGCAGCCAGTAATATGGCAAGAAAATCAGAGAGTATGCTATCTAGGAACCAAAAGAAGAAAGTATTTCAAGGAAAAGGAATGATCCACTATATCAAATACTTGCTAATAAATCAGGTAAATTGAGATCTGAGAACAGAGGACTGAATTTAGCAACATGGAGGTCATTAGTAATCTTCACACGAAATATTCTCTTGTTATTATTTTTCTGCTTCTTCTCCCATTAAACATACACCTGGTGACTGGGCCTATGGAAAATAGTGGTAAACTAGGAATAGAGGAGCACTTCCTCAACTTGATAAAGAATATCTACCCCAAAACCTACAGCTAATAGCATGCTTAATGATGGGAAGCTTGACACTTTCCTACTAAAATTAGGAATAAAGCAAAGACGTCCCCTCTCACCACTACTTTTCAACATCGTACTGGAACCATAGCTAATGCAATAAGGAAAGAAAAGGTATAGGAGGTTAGGAAGAAAGAAAGGAGCTCCAGTCAAAAGCACACATCCCCTTCCAAGTAGAATCCCAAGCATCCCCCAAAATTCCAGTGTCCAGTTAAGCACAAGTTCCTCCAGGCACAGGTAAGGCAGGTGAGATCAACCATGTCACCCGCTAGAATAAAAAAGGTAAACACCTGCCTCTGGGTCCTGAAGTGTCTGCAATACTGATAACAATGATAAAATATGCAGTTACTTAGAAATTTTCATTTTCTATATTGATATTTATTGCTTGTGTCTCTCTATCCTAACCAAAATTCATCAATAATTAAAGGAACCTGCATAAACAGAGCTATTGATGAGCCCTCATGTGTATTGGGGGTAGGGGGGCTCAAAACCATGTGGCTGACTTTCCACACAGATAAATGGCCAAATTATTGATGTGCTTTAGCCTCAAATTATGTGACAGAAGTCCTCAAGATTAATCTTCCACCACCACCAAGAGGGCAGAGACGATCTTTCTTATCTCTGTACCTTCAGTACCAAGCACACTGACTGGGACAGAGTAGGCACCTGATAATTGTTGAGTGAGTGAGTAAGTGAATGAATGAATGAATGAATGAATCTCCTCTGAGTGTCTCAAATTAGGCATGTGTCCACTAACAGCTTTACTGAAGATTGAACTCCTATGTAAACAGCCAAACTAGATCATAGAGGATAGATAAAGCAACACTAAAGGTTTTTGGACTATTTAATTCATCTACAGAAATGCAATAAACTGTATTCTTGCCATATTATTTCTTTTTTCTCTTTTTTTTAAAAAAATAATATTATTGCTTTTTAGAGAGAGAGCGAGAGAGAAACATCAATGGGAGAGGGAAACATCGATTGGCTGCCTCTTGCATGGCCCCTTTGGGAACTCAAGCATGAAACCCGAGCATGTGTCCTGACCAGGAATCAAACTGGCAAACCTCTGGTGCACAGGACAACACCCAAACAACTGAGCCGCACTGGTCAAGGCGCCGTATTATTTCTTAGTTGGAGCTCTGCGGATCCTGTCTCTCATAGCACATCCCACCTCTTTGAAGGGATATGTCTATATAGAAGCATCCCTGTGAGCCTCTTAACTATAGAGCTACCACCATTCTAACTTTCTGGTGGTTAGCCACATTTGCAATACAAAAGTCTATTGGATTTATGACCAAAGCAAATTAATATCCCCATAATGGCAATTGTGATGGACTTGTGGGAAAAAATAGGACCATAATGTTTATGTGTTTATGCGTTTTTAATATTTATAGGTTTGATGTTATAGCCCTAATCCTAAAGAGAATAGGTGTGCCTGAGATTAGCTCATTGTTAAGGAGGTTATAGGCATGAAGAATTTCTGCTAACTACCCAAGCTCATAAATGCCTCCAAATGGCTTTTCCATTTTTATGGGGCCAATCCTCAGATCCCCACACACATAAAAGGGGTAAGAGGAATCCACTAGCCTCAGAGGGACTCCCAGCTCCAGCTCACCCCACACTCTGCAATTGCTGCTTTGCTCTCATCCAGGAAGCCATCATGTCTTGCTCCTACCAAGTCAGCTCTGGTCGCCGTGTGGGCAACTTCAGCTCTTGCTCAGCAATGGCCCCGCAGAGCCTGAACAGGTTCCGAGCCAGCTCCGTCTCCTGCAGGAGTGGGTCCAGCTTCCGAGGCCTTGGCAGTTTTGGTAGTCGGAGTGTCATCACCTATGGATCATGCTCACCCCGGATAGCAGCTGTAGGCTCTCGTCCCATCCACTGTGGAGTTGGCTTTGGTGCTGGTGGTAGGTGTGGTGCTGGTCTAGGGTTTGGAGCCAGCAGTTGCCTTGGCTATGGCTTTGGCTATAGAGTTGGAGGAATTGGAGTCCCAGCAGCCCCATCTATCACAGCAGTGACTGTTAACCAGAGCCTGCTGACCCCTCTCAACCTGGAGATTGACCCTAATGCTCAGAGGGTGAAGCGAGATGAGAAGGAGCAAATCAAGACACTCAACAACAAATTTGCTTCCTTCATTGACAAGGTACAGTTCAATCCCTGGGTCTGGGATGGTAAGAGCTAAAATGCATTGGGTGTTCTTTCCCTTAAGAAGAAATAGCCCAGGCCTAGGGCATTGACTTCGACCCCAAGATCCTTTAGGTGTCAACCAAAGGCATTGCAGTATGATTTCCAGATCACTCTGCTATAGAGCAAGGATGGGCCTGAGGAGCGCAGCATGGAGGGCTAGACTAACACAGAGGTTGCATCTTTTGGAGGAAAGAGGAACCTCCAGCCAAGTCTGAGGGCATCTGGACAAACTAAGACCTACTACCTAGTGACTAGACCTACTACCTAGTCACTTAGAACAGTGCCTGTTTGTAGCTGAGCCTGGCTAAGCCCAAAGAGGGGGTCACAGGCCTGCTCTTCCATATTCTACTGAATTAGAGCAGGAATTAATGTCAACAGAGGCGAGAACAATGTCACCACAGTGTCGAGAGTCATTTCTGACCACCTGAAGAACTGGTGGGCATGTAAGTGACTCTGTCAAACACTTCAATTGCCCTTTCTGTGCCCTTGTGGGTTTAGGTGCGGTTCTTGGAACAGCAGAACAAACTTCTAGAGACCAAGTGGAACTTCCTCCAAGAGCAGAAGTGTGCCAAGAGCAACATGGAGCCCCTCTTTGAGAGCTACATCACTAACCTGCGGAGGCAGCTGGATGCAGCCAGCAGTGACCGGGCCCGTCTGGAGGCTGAGAGGAACAACATGCAGGATGTCCTTGAAGGTTTCAAGAAGAAGTGAGTGGCATCTGGACCACACTGACCAAGGACAGGCATGGGCTGGTCCCTAAAGCAGTGACCAAGCTCAGATGAGAGCAGCTGGAAGGGTCAAGGTTGAATGCTGGTTTCTATACCCAGTCTGTAGACAGATGTGGGGGCAGTGATATGTAAGGGAGCAGGAGGAGGCCCTCCAAAGGTCCTGAGGAAAAAGGAGTCTTGGAATTGGGCATGTTTTCTTCCTAATCCTCACTGTGGAAATGGGTGAGTTAGCCGCAGAAAAAAGAGCCCTCTGATTGTGAGAACCATGCCCACATTCAGCAACAAGTTGGGTCCTACTTCCTCTCTGGTCATGTGCAATGACTCTAAATCTTTTCTAGCAGAAGAGCAAAGAAATGGACCACGTTTTCAGGCCCCACATCCTATGTGAGAATGTTAAAGGGATTTGGAGAAACTGAGGGCTACTGGTACATGTAAGGTCTTACAGAAAGGACAGAATGGCTGAGAACCTGTAGGTAACAACAGGAAGCTGTGCTCCTGGGTGGAGCAGAGAGGTCTTAAGAGGCTCACTAGGAAGTTGGAAGTCGTTGGCTCTCAATTCAGAATGAGAACTCACTCTCCTAATTCTAATCATCCAGGTACGAAGAAGAGGTGGAATTCCGGGCCAACGCTGAGAATGAGTTTGTGACTCTGAAGAAGGTAAGGGAAAGCAATAGGTAAACTTCTCCAGACAGGCAAATGTCCTTGAGACCCCTCAGGAAACTGCCCAGGCATCCCTGTGTTGTCTCAGACCACTCACTCAGAGGGGAACCCTTAAGGTCACACAAGGTCTCTTCGAAGTTCTAATTTGGTCTCAGAATATTTGATCGGTTAGATTATTTATTTATTTTTTAATCCATTGATATTTAGACAGAGTGGAAGAGAGAGAAGAGGAAGGGAGGGAGGGAGAGAGAGAGAGAGAGAGAGAGAGAGAGAGAGAGACATCAACGTGAGAGAGACACAATCAGCTGCCTCCTGCCCTCATCCCAACCAGGGCCAGACTACAATTGAGGTACACACCCTTGACCAGGAATTGAACCCATGACCCTTCGGTCCGTGGGCCGACACTCTAACCATTGACCAAACCATCCAGGGCAGGTTAAATTGTTTAGATGTCCTTTTATTATTTAGATGCCTGGGATTATCCAGATTCTCCTTGCCTCTAAATAAGCATCAGGAGAGATCCAGCAGTCCCAGGGGACTGTCTATGCTGCAGCAGGAGAAGAGCCACAGTCACTGAACTGCAGTTCCACCCAGTGACTTTACCACCCATCCCCAGACTGGCCTGGCCCTGTGGGACTGGTCTGATCTTCCCACCCATCCCCAGACTCCGCCAAGGTGCGGGGGTTAAACAGTGCAAAGTAATATGCATCTTATCCTTCTCTCTTTTATGCAGGATGTGGATTCAAATTTCTTACATAAATCTGATCTAGAGGCCAACGTGGAAACCCTAGCTCAGGAAATTGACTTCCTGAAAACCCTATACATGGAGGTAAGGGCTCATCCCCTCTCAGCCATATGAAATCAGTGCTTAGCCTGGACTCCCTGGGGGCTTCCTCTGAACTGGCACATTTTCTAACATTTGGTATCATACATCTTTCCTCCCACTCAAATCTATATCCTCTATATGTCAATAGATCTACCAGTGGAAAAGGTTAGGTAAGCAGGCTTCTCAGCAGCCTGACTCAGATCTACGTATAAACTTCTTGGATCCATGGTACAACCCCTTGTTGACCAATCCAAAGATCTGGGTCTAGGAATATCACTTTCAAACTATTGATCAGAAGACTCTGGAAAACTGATCTGCTAGGAGAGGTAAAAAAAGTATATCATGTTTGACCTAATTGGCCAAATGACTAGCTCTCTTCTGCTTCATAAATGGTCTGTTTGGTCTGATACAGACCCAGCCAGAGCTGAATGTCTGGCTCTGAATGGAAACCCTAAAGAAAGCTCCCTCTGGAGCCCTCACCTCACAGGCCAGTTCCACGCCCCCTGGTTCTGTTAAGGACTTGAGGTGTAAAATTCCTAGACCATCAAGTTCTAAAATATTGTCAGCTCTCAATAATCCATGAATGGCACAGCCACTTTGAGGATAATCCAAAAAAAAGTGTATCCCTAGTATAGCTCTCACTCTTCTTCACCTAAAGCGTAGGCCCCCATGGTTTTAATATTCACCTAAGCAAAACTTAGGGTGGTAAAGGGATGTCTCTGAGTACATAACAAGACTTTAAAGTCAAACAGAAGTGGTTCTTGGCCATGCCTTTTTCTTCACCTTTGGTTTGGATGGCCTGCCCCATAGCTTTGCTCTGAACAAACAAGCAATACTCTCTGCTCTTGACACTACATCCTGGGAACCCTGTGGCAGCATCCTGGCCACTGATGGGACTCTGAGTCCCTCTCTCTTACTGATCCTCCAACACAGGAAATCCAGCTGCTACAGTCACATATCTCAGAGACCTCGGTCATTGTGAAGATGGACAACAGCCGGGACCTGGACTTGGATGGAATCATCGCCGAAATCAAGGCCCAATATGAAGAGGTTGCCAGGCGCAGTCGGGCTGATGCTGAGGCCTGGTACCAGACCAAGGTGGGCAGAGGCAGGCTGGGAAGGGGTGTAGGTAGCCTTGGGTTGAGACTCAGGTACAACAAAGTGGGCCCCATGGAGGTGCGAGACCCTCAATTCAGTTGAAGCTGTGGTCTTGATCCAACCTTTGAGCCCTCAAACATCCCCCTCTCCCCACCACACCCGACAGTATGAGGAGATGCGAGTGACAGCTGGCCAACACTGTGACAACCTGCGCAACACACGGAATGAGATCAATGAGCTGACCCGCATGATCCAGAGGCTGAAGACAGAGATCGAGCACGCCAAGACTCAGGTAGGCAAAAGAAAATAGAGAAAGCCCCAGAGGAAGGAGAAGCAGGGCTCTGAATTTGGGGAGCTCCAAGTCTGATGATATAGGGGAGACCATCAGGACCCAGAAATGGAGGAATGGAGGGATTAGTACAAAAAGACTTCCTGGGAGAGGAAAATGTGGAAGGAAAGGAGGATCTCCTATACAGAAGAAAAGACTTGGGGTCAACTTGAAGGAGCAGATAGAAGGCAAAGAATAGTTTTACTCTGGAGCCCATGGCTCTTGGAGCAGCAGATATAAGGAAGTGCAAAGTCACTGGATTAGAAACTGAAAAAAAGCAATGCTTTGCCTCTGGTGACATCAAACTGCAGGTTCACGGTCCCCAAGAAAGCAGCTACATGGGCTCCATCCGTGGCTTGGCACCAGGCTGTGTCCCCACTAACAGGGGGCAGTGTTTCCAGCCCCATCTGGGAATCCAGGATCCCCTAGTCTCTGCCAAAACCCACCAGCAAACTGCCCTCCCTGCAGCGAGCCAAGCTGGAGGCCGCAGTGGCTGAGGCGGAGCAGCGGGGTGAGGCAGCCCTCAAGGATGCCAAATGCAAGCTGGCAGATCTGGAGGGCGCCCTACAGCAGGCCAAGCAGGACATGGCCAGGCAGCTGCGCGAGTACCAGGAACTGATGAACGTCAAGCTGGGCCTGGACATTGAGATCGCCACCTACAGGCGCCTGCTGGAGGGCGAGGAGATCCGGTGAGTGCTCACAGGGCACCAAGAGGGAATGAGGTCGGACTTGGACATCTGGACTAATTAGCGGGGGAGGAGGGGACAGCAACCAGGTGAAGGAATGCTGAAATATCCATCTCCAGAAGTAAGCGAGCCTTTTCTGCAAATGTTAGTTGGGTTGACCCTGGTGAGGGATTAGAAGACGACTCTAAGTCTGTGCCTCCTAAATGCGAGTTTGCAGACAGGCTGCATCAGAAATGGAGTTTTGCTTGATGGGGTTAGCTTGTTTAAAAGATTTGGTTAGCTTGTTAAATCGTTTTGGGGTAAGGTCTAGGAACAGGTCACTTTTCAAAGCTCTCTGGATGCTTGTACAGCTGGGTGAGAACCACTGGTCCACTGGTCTACTCGGCCAGGAAAGCCCTTCTGAGAGCAAGCGGGTTTCCAGAGAACAACGCTACTTATGAACTGACTTATTTCTTTCTCTCTCCAGGATCTGCGAAGGTGTTGGACCAGTAAACATATGTAAGAAACTGAAGTCTTTTCCTCTACACATTTCTCTCCTGATGCCCTTCAAATTTCCTTTAAACTCAGGCCCACATTGGGGTCAGGAGCCCATGGCTGGGCTGACCAGGACAGTCGAGGGAGCAGGAACCATCTGGCCCCTGGACTAGAGCATCCCCTTAGCAGAGGTCTGAGATCTCCCCTGAGCCTACCCTCCCCAGGGTATGCAATCACCAAGGTTTGCAGGGCCTCCTGGGTGGGAGAGGGCTCCAGAAGAGCAGCAGCCCTTTCATTTTTAGTGGCCTTGTCCTTTAAGGACAAAAGCCAGGGGAGAAATGAAAGACATTTGCCAGGGAGTTCCCTACTCCTCTGATTGCAGGAGATGGGACAAAGCTGAATGGAAGTCCCCCTGCTGCTGCTGCTGCTGCCAGACAAAGTATAGATTGTACCCAAAGCATGCAGGGCACCATGCTTGACACTGCAAGGCACTATGCTTGGCACTGCAAGGTGGAGGCACAAAGAAGGTTAGCCCTAGCCCCTGCCTCTGGAATTATAATCTTGTTGAGAAGATGAGTCCTATCCACTGTCAGCCTACCCCTCAAAGCAGCCCTGGCGGGAGGAACAGGCACTGGCAACCCCCTTTCACTCACTCAGAGAAAATATGTGGTTTGCCAGAAGTCATTTAGTCAGTGGCACAACCAGAATTCAAAAACAGATCTCTGACTCCAAAAGCACAAATATACACAGATGTGAGGTTGAACGGAGTGTAACCTGGGTAGGTCAGAGCTCCAAGTGTTTGGATGACAGTGCCTGCCGAGAGGGGTGGGCAGCCAGGATGGCTTTCTGCAGGAGTCAGGCTTGAGCGGAGGTCAGAACAGAACTGACAAGGGACTCTTATTGGAGGGGCCATGTGAGAACCACTGAGGGGCAGGGAGTAATTGGAAGACAGAAGCCTAGTGATTTATAAAGGCTACTGCTCCCACTGTCTGGATCATGCAGGTCACTATACTCTCAACAAAACAGCGTGACTGGCCAGATATAAATGAGAACCAACCTATGGCTCTACGCAAACATCTGGGGTATTGATTGAATCCTTCCATTTACTCTGAATGTTGACTAGCAGAGTCACAGCCTTTGAGTCACCCAGACAAGAGAAGAAGTGGGTATTGACTGTGTATACAATAGGGACCACCTCCACCCAGGGCCCTGACCTCCCACCCCACAGAGGGAGCATGAAGGGCATGCAGCCTCACTGATGATCTCTCCCTCCTGCAGCCGTGAGCAGCTCCCGTGGTGGCCTGGTGTGTGGGCCTGAGCCCCTGGTCTCCAGCTCTACCCTCTCCCGCAGCAGAGTCACCTTCTCTGGCAGCAGCATCCGTTCTGGTGGCGTCTGTGGCTCCAGTCTGGGTGGGGCCCAGGTCATCATGGGCAGCGGGGACCTGCTCAGCACAGGCTCCCGGGGAAGCTCGGTGCTGATGAGAGAGTCCTGCACCCCCTGCGCCCCCAGCATCCCCTGCCCGCTGCCCACCGAGGGCGGCTTCAGCAGCTGCAGTGGGGGCCGCAGCAGCCGAGGTTCCAGCGTCCGCTTCATGTCCACCACCACCACCTCCCGCCGGACCAAGTACTGAGAGCCTAGGGCCAGCCACTGCCCTGGGAAGAACCATCTCAGTGTCCCTTGCTTCTGTCCCCAAGGCGCCTGGGCCCTGGGCTGGGGGGGCTTCCCCTCCTACCAGGAAGGGACAAGGCTCTGTCCGGCCTGTGTCCTCTCGGGATACTCTTCTCTGCCTGGATGCTCCATCCGCAGCCCCATCCAGATGGGTTTCTCCCTGACTCCCAATGTCCTTCCTTTGGATCAGTCCTCACCATCCATCTGAACAGCTTCAAGAATTCAGATTTGATACAATTACAAAAATCTGTGCCTGGGGAGAATAGGCACAGTCCAGAGCCAAAAAGAATGTCTTTGGGCACCATGGCCATCCCAGCTTTGGACTAGTTTGGAGAATGGGAAGTTGACTGTCCATACTGCAGCTGGGCCAGCATCCTTGGCCTCCTTCCTCTTCCTTTCCCCCACAGGAGAAGGTGTTTTCCTAGTTTCCTGACTCAGAAGGATCCACAGTCCTTGATGGCCCAGGGGACCCCTTAGTAACCTGAGATGGTTCTTCTTCCAGGGACATACGTCCTGGCTACTTCCTTTCCTGGGTTGTTGGTTTAACTCTGCAGCATGTGAGCTCATGAGGTGGGTGAGCTCTGCTACACCCCACACAACTGTTGGTGGTGTGAGGGAGGCCCAGCCCTGTCCGCTGCAGGAGGGTTTATTCTGCAAGCTCCAGGGAGGCCTGGGGTGGGTTGGGGGACCTATTTGTACTGCTCTTTGTGTTCCTGGGTTTTCAATAAACTTGCCAAGCTAACATCACTAGGACTCTGGCCTCTCCTTCTGGATCATGCTGGGGGTGGGGAGATTGCCTCCTAGACTCCATCCTGGGACTTGGGCAGAGGCTATCCTGGGGATAGAGTGGGTGCTGAGAAAAGAGGGCTCGGACCCTCCCCTGTAGGGGCTCACAGTTCAGCAAAGGAGAGAAGATCTATAGCAGAGGCTCTGAAAGCAAGTGCCAAACATCCCACTTCTCTCCAGGCATTGCCCTACAACCCAGAGGTGCCCTTCTCCTGGCCAAGGTGAACCTTTCCATCTGTTCTCTGGGTCCAACCCCATACCCTGTTCCTCTGGCATCACTGCATCCTCATTTTTCTGTCCCAGCTCTTACGCTTATCCAACTCATTCACTATGAGGCTACTATAGAGGTCTTTCTCACATAGAAAACTAACCTGGCTTACAGTCCTCAATGGCTCCTCACTGCCTTCTAAAGAGCTCAAACTTCCTAACATTGCATCCAACCCCTGAATGATCTGCTCATACACCCCCTGCCATACTGTCTTCTCTTGTACCCCGCTTTCAACCTATCCACCTTTATTTGTTCATGCAACATATGATAGGGACTTACTACTTGCCAGGCCCAATGCTGGGGAAATAGCAATGAACAAGATTTGGCCCTCATCCTCAGAGAGCTTACAGTCCCACTTGATAGATGGACAGGCAAACAAGCACTTGTGGCTGGGTATGGTAAATGCTGTGTTAAGGGTAGAATCGATGCTACAGTACACAGAGGAGAGGCCCAGCCCATACTGGGCATCATTAAATGCTTCCTGGAAGATGTAGTATCCCAGCAGAGATGCGAAGCATGATGACTTAGCCACACCAAGAAAGAAGAAGTGTCCCAGGTAGGCAACAACATGTGTAAAAACTATGACTGGAGAGAGCATGCCCAGTTTGGAGATCTGTCTGTATTACAGGTCGGAGTCAGCCAAAGTGCAGTCATGACAGAGCCCCATTAGGGCACATATCTCACAGCAGGGACTGGGTGCCTCTCTGTCTCACCTGGAGGCTCCTCCTTAGGGAGCAGGAAGCACACCTTCCATCTTCATATGCTCAGACTTCATCGAGCAACCTGAGAACGTACAGATTGTTCTTCTCACAGCCTAAGGCCTACCTGACCCAGGACTCACCAACCACCTCCTATCCTGCTTCCAGGGGCTCCTGACTTCCCATCCCGTCTCCCATGTAAAATCACATGCACCCCTCAGGTGATAGCAACATCAAGGTTGTCTCCATCTGGCCTTGGTGCCTCTCATAGGCCAGACCCACATTCACCTGTGCCAGTTATCAATGTATTGCCTCAGCTCCAAATTCACCCTTATTCCCTACTCTGTGCAAATGGAGCTGATCCCCTTAGATCCATTGGTATGAAGTTAAGCCTTGTCTGTAGGCATTTCCATAAACATTGGTGAGGCCTTGAGAAGTAGGGAACTTTGCCTCCACTGTGCTCTCTCGGCATTTCCCCAGTGCAGATTCCTGCAGCGCAGACACCGTCTATACTATTAGGCCCCCTGGCACAGCAGCCAGCAGCCAGGAGCTTCCTCAGCATCCTTCTTGGGAAATTACATATCAAAGTGCCTCCAGCAAGACACCTCCTTGTGAAAGCTCTCCCCAGCACCCTAAAGGGTGTACTAGTAGGTTCTGGCTGGAAGGTTCCCAGCAAGTCCCATTGGTGGGGCACCACAGTGACTTCTCTGGAACCCAGCAAGCAGTGGCTGTGCCCTCTCCAACAAGGTCTGGATCTCAGCCATGGCTTTTCCTTGGGGCCTCTATCACAGTCCTAGTTGCTAGTCTTTACATCAATCATTTCTATACTCTTTGAGTTCTTTTCCCTCATGACTCCCACCTCAACACTGTCTATATTGAACTTCCTCTGTTCAAGTTACAGCGTGGTACGGTCCCTTGATTGGACCCTGGCTAACACATGCCACTGGGACAGCGTTGCTTCCAACCTCCCAAGTCAAACAACAAGCCAACACTGGGGCTCCTCAGGCACCAGCCACCAGGCCTCTTCTCTCTCTATCCCACCCCATAGGTGCCCTCACCCAGTCTCATGGCTTGAAATGCCATCCATATGCCATTAACTCCTGAGTTTATGTCTCCAGCCCAGACCTCCCGTTTACTATAGGCTGGTATTTACAGGTTGCTCTGACATCTCCATTTGCATATCGAATGGGCATCTCAAACTAAACATGTCCCAAAACAAACTCCTCATCTTCTTTCTTCCCCTCCGTGCTGCTCCTTCCATATTAATGGCAAGTGCATTCAGTTGCTTAAGCAAAAATAAATTAAAAATAAATAAAATCTTGGAATCATTTTTAACCTCTCTATTTCTCTAGCATCCCCATATTTAGTTCATCACAAATTATATCAGCTTAACCTTCAAATAATGTCCAGAATCCAACTGCTTCCCCCACCTCCATGATGACCACTGAGGCCTGAGCTTCCATGACTCTTGCCTGGACAACTGCAGTAGCCTCCTAACTGGCTCCCTGCTCCTCTCTCTTTCTTCAGTCTATTCCAAAAAAATCAGCCCAGGTGATCCTGTTAAAACTAAGTTGACTTCCAGTTCATCCATGATGGAGTAAGCCTATGATAGCCTGTCACGCCCACTAATAACAACAAAAAAACTCTGGATAAAATTGTTTAAAAATAAACTTTCAGAGGACTCAAAAAAGTGAACAAAAGCAGGTAGATCATGGCAGGAACACAAACTTTTTGACTCGAGGGCCACAATGGGTTCTTAAACTGGACCGGAAGGCCAGAACAAAAGCATGGATGGAGTGTTTGTGTGAACTAATATAAATTCAAAGTAAACATCATTACATAAAAGGGTACAGTCTTTTTTTTTTTTTTAGTTTTATTCTTTCAAACGGGCTGGATCTGGCCCGCGGGCCGTAGTTTGCCCACTGCTGTGGGGCTGTGAACCATCAGAATGACCAGCTAATTCTCCAATAGAAATCCCATCTTTCTAACCAGAGACAGCAGGAAAGGGGGACCCTAGGGGCTGGAAAATATGGAAGGGGAATGCTCATGTGTTTTTCTTTTCTCTCGTGGCTTTGCCCAAAGAGCAGCTCCCAGTTGTAGAGCTGTGCAGCAGCAATGACCTGGGCAGCAAACCTCCAAGAGAAACCTGCCCTTTCTGGCTGAGGGAACCAGGAAAAGAGACCCTGTAAAGGGGGAAGGGGGTCAGGATAAAGGGATTCCTCTGTGTGTAAGTCCTCTCCAGTCCTTGGCTCTCCCTTGAGCAGCATACACAAGAGACACAAAGCAGCAGGTCAAAGGTTTAGAGAACTGAGGTAAGAGTTAAACCACTGCCCCAGTTTCAGGCAAACCTCTGAGCACCATATACACAGGACAGACACAAAGCAGTAAACAAAGGCTTGGAAAACTAAACTAAGTATGGAACCATTTCCCATGTAGGAAAGACAGAACTTGCAGTCAGAGCCTAACTAGGCTGATTCTCTACTAAAACAAAACACAACTGAAAATCCTCCAGAGGGTTTGGCAGGACCAAAAGTCTATACATCAGAATATCTTAAATGTCCAGGATATGAGCTAAAATTATATTGATATTCAAGGAACCAGGAAAACGTGACCAATTCTGAAAGGGAAAGAAAATCAACAGATGTCAGTCCCAAGATGACACCGATGTTGGAATTATCACACAAAGACCTTAAAGACAATTATAACTCTGTTCCAGAAGATATAGGAAAACATGTTGGAAGAAACTATAAAAACAGAACCAAATGGAAATTTTACAACTGAAAAATATTACATTAAAAATTTTTTAATCATTGATACACTCCATGGCAAAAAGGAGAGGACAAAAGAGAGTTAATAACTTGAAGATATATTAATAAAAGGTATCCAATCTGAAGCATAAAGAGAAAAGAAGATTAGAAAATAATATTTTGTAAACTACATAAAATGACATATTACACTTAGGAGAACAACAAGTCAAATGACCACGGATTTCTCACTAGAAACCTTGAAAGACAGAAGAGAATAGAACAACATTTTTAAGTGCTGTCAACCCAGAATTCTATGTCTGGCAAAAATATCCTTCAGAAGTGAATGCAAAAAAAAAGACATTCTCAGATGAAGAAAAACTGAGAGAATCTGTCACCTGCACCCTGCAGACCTACCTACTCTAAAAAGAAGGCAGAAGTTCTTCAGAATGAAGGAAAATAATAC